CAGCTACGACTTTGCCCCTTCAGGTAAGTAGCAGCTACGACCTTGACCCTTCAGACATCCTACAACTACGACTTCGGAACTGTCTAGACTTCTACCCTACAAGTCTACAGTTCGATTCCTCTCTACCCTGTGACCTCCGGAAACCTACCTACCACTGGCGGTCCTACAGGTCGCAGGTTCAAATCTACGAGTTGACACTAGTACTGTACACAGGCAAGACGGGGAACTAGGGATCGAGCCCTGGGATCTGCATTCGCTACTGCGAATTGGTGAATACCGTTTCACAGGTTTCCCGTGTTTATTCCTTCTCTATGGGTGGATGACAACGGGGATTGATCCAAAGCCAGGGTGTTTAGCTGCTGCAGAATTTGGTCCGCAACAACTCGCCCTGGTGGTGATAACCTTTCAGTATAGTGATCTGTCGGTGGTTCATATGGTAGTCTACTTTCCTCCTCAAGCTGCTTCATCTGTCGTTCCTCTGGCAAGGATGAGGGACATCCTAATGCGATTGCAACATGTGTATGTGCCCAACATTGCATGTGGGACATGCCAAGAGAGGGTGTGGTGGATGGATAGTCCACGCAGGAGAGACGCATACTTTCTATAACAACTTTCTGGAAACATTGATGGCACATGGCATGTCGCTGACATGTCGGCAGGAAAGTAGGCTGATGTTCACAACTATTTAGGCAAGGCATGTCAAGGCCACCATGGCATACTGGGCAAGTAATTAGGGGGTGGAAGGGATGAGTACAAGACAAAAGGTTGCAGTTCTCCTGCAGACACTGGCAGTGACGATCCCTTCACAGTGTTCGAAGCAAAGACAATGCCGTGCGCATGCTAACCGCACTATCGCTGCGTGGCCACAGAATGGGATGGCACAGCCACTGTTCGTGGTAGGCTTCGTCCGATCTACACAGGGACGGAACGCTACCTGGCCATGCATAGGGGAGGGAGGAGGTTCAGCCGGATTGCTCTCCGGAGGCAGGAGAGCTCACGAGTGCACAACGACATAGTGTTCCTATGGGCAAGCCAGACCGAGTAATATTCTACTGCTTGGTGATAGAAAGAGTCAATATTTCCCGTTGTGTGTATAGATTCCATGAGTTATCCGCAAAGGTAAGAGCACTGAAATGACCTGGACGATGTATGATGTATGCACAAGTTTTCAGATCCATGCCTGGCATGTGATTCTGTGGAGCAGGCTGGAGTTGTAGTTGCCTACTTATAAATGCCATGGACATGACTTCTATGTTCACACCAGGTGCAGTACTGTCGTCCTCTGGGCAGACAGCACGGTGGTCCGCTTCTATCCAGTGGACAACGTCTGGAAAATCAGAAACAGTCTAAGGGTTGCAATTGTAAGTGAGGAGACATACATTAATGGCATAATACGCACAGCTGCCTCACTGTAGCACTATGATATCTTCTGATTCTGCAGGTTGTGCGGCAGGGGGAGGTTCATCCAATTCTGCAGATTGAACGGCAGGCGGGGACTCATTGCGGTCTTGACTATTTCTGTCAGGTTCCTCTGACTGTATCAACTCCACTGGCTCTAGTATACGCTCTGAAGAGAGATCATCTTCAGTTGGGGGCTCCATCAGGTGATCTGAAGAGGGATCATTGTCAATTGGGGCTGGGGAAGAAGTGAGGCTAGGTGGATGAGAAATGGGTGAGTCAGATGCAGGAAGCAGAAGCTGATCAGCCACACTTGTGCTTAGAGTGGCTACAACTTATGCAAATGCTGCACAGGTAGCTGCACCTCCTGTCTGGTGCACCAGCAGGCCTGCAGTTCTAAAGAAATCATCGCAACATTGTGGGCATCAGCCTTGATATGTACTATTCCTGGCTAGTGCATATTGAGAGCGACAATGTCGTACCATACGGTTGCAAGCATGTCGTTGGAGCAGATCTCTAACCCCTGGGGTGAGGTGATCATGCTGTTCAAGGACAAGCAAGGCCACTGTCTTGGAGGCAGCGGTGGAGACGGGGAATGTCACCGCCGAAGAGGCATCTGTAATGGGTGATCTGACGATGGATGCCTCTGCCGACAGGGCCTTTGTGACGGCTGATCTGACCATGAATGTGTTGATGATGAGGCCAACGACGAAGGGGAGGCATGCGAGGTGGAGGATGAGGAGGAGGAGGATGAAGATGGAGAAGAGGAGGAGGGAGAATAGGAGGTAGATGACTGAGGGAATGATGTAGCATAGCATGTCGGTGAGGGAGGTGGTGATGGTGGTGGCTGTCGTGGTGGAGGCGGAGCTGGTGATGGTGGAGGTGGAGGAGGTACATGTTCAGCAGCAGTCGTGTTATTGGTAAGATGCAGCCTTCGTGTGTGTGTGTGTTTGGAGAGAGAGAGAGAGAGAGAGAGAGAGAGAGAGAGAGAGAGAGAGAGAGAGAGAGAGAGAGAGAGAGAGAGAGAGAGA